GTGGCTGGCGCCTTAGCCGGTTGAGCTATAGGCGCCGAGCCGGAATTCTCTTTTTTTTTTGAGACAGAGTCTTACTTTGTTGTCCTGGGCTAGTGTGCCATGGGGCCAGCCTAGCTCACAACACCCCCAAACTCCTGAGTGGAAGCGATCCTCCTGCCTCAGCCTCTGGAATAGCTGAGACGACAGTTTTCCACCACAATGCCCAGCTAGTTTTTCTACCTTTAGTAGAGACAGGGCCTCACTTAGCTCAGGCTGGTCTGGAACTCCTTAGCTAGAAAGGTCCTCCCACCTTGCCTCCCAGACTGATGGTATTATAGGCACCTGTGGAGCCTTTTGCACCTAGCTGAAGGAGTGAGAATTCTAACACTCCTTAGAAGCAATAAACATTTCTTGGGTAGAGTAGCTTCTGCCTAGGGGCTATCTGCAGCTGCCTCCAGGCTGGGAGTTGTCCTTCCTGGTGTCTGAGAGACTGATAAATATCTTCCTTTTCTGGGAAGCAGAGCACTGTGCCTACAGGCTCAGCCTCAGTAGCTGGGTAGACTTGGAGTTTTGTTCTCTTCCTTTTTCCTTACCCACTGTGCTGCGGAGCAGGCTTGAAAGGAAGGCCAGCTTGCATCTGAATCCCAGCTTCCACCACTTTTACCAGCTGGTGACATGGGTGACCTCCTTTAAACATTGAACTTCAGTTGCCTGGTCTGTGGAATGGAGGTAGTAATAATATCTATCCCGTGGGAGTGCAGTGATAAATGTTAGTGTCCTAGCTCCTCGACACCTTGCCTCACAGCACTTGCTGTCGTGGGAGAAAACCAATTCCTTGGGGATGGAGGCAGGAAGGTTTTTTTTTTTTTTTTTTGAGACAGAACCTCAAGCTATCGCCCTGGGTAGAGTGCTGTGGTGTCACAGCTCATAGTAACCTCTAACTCTTGGGCTCAAGCGATTCTCTTGCTTCAGCCTTCCAAGTAGCTGGGACTACAAGGCCCTGCCACAACACCCTGCTATTTTTTTGTTTGTTTTGGTTGTAGTTGTCATTGTTTGGCAGGCCCAGGCTGGATTTGAACCTACCAGCTCTGGTGTATGTGGCTGGTACCTTAGCTGCTTGAGGTACAGGCACCAAGCCTAGGGAGGTCTTAATATCTACTCTGAGCAGCTGCTGATCCATCCTGGGGGCTCCCTTACCTCAGCCTTATCTATACTGACAGATGGCAACTTGTCCATGCCTCCTGGCCCCATTATGAGTGCTGGTGGGGAGGAGGTAGAGTTGGCAGTCAGTCAGGAAAGGAAGGTGGGTCAGAGCAGGAGACCTGACATGAAATGATAGGCATTCCAGGGTGGCTGTGAGAACCAAATGGTGAGCTACTTGTGGGCCCACATGACATCTAAGTCCCCTCTGAGTTTACCCTGGAGACAACCTGCCTGCTCTTTGCCTACCCAATGGCTTTGATACCTGCCCCTGCCCCTGCCCCTGAGATGGCTTTTTCCTGCCTTCTCCACCTGGTGGTGGTGTTAATATTTTTTAAACATACTTTATTGAAGATTAATTTACATCCTTTTTTTTTTTTTTTGAGACAGAGTCTCACTCTATTGCCCAGGCTAGAGTGCTTTGGGGTTAGCTTATCTCTCTGCAACCTCAAATTCATGTGCTCAAATGACCCTCCTGCCTCAGCCACCTGTAGTCAGACTGCGGGCACCTGCCACCACTCTGGGCTAATTTTTCTATTTTTTTTAGTAGAGACTGGATCTTGGTCTTTCTTAGGCTAGTCTCGAACTTCTGAGCTCAAGCCATCTTCCCACCTCAGCCTCCCAGAGTACATCATACATTTTGATGAGGTCTGACAAATTTACACACCTCGGTAACCAGTACACAATATTTAGAATCTTTCCATTACTCCGAAAACCCTCCCTCCCTTTTGAAGGCCCATCCTTCACCTGTCCCTTTAAAAAATAAGTGAAACAGTTTTATTAAGATAAAATTCACATACCTTACCAGTTACCCATTTAAAGTATACATTGTAACAGTTTTAGTATATTCAGAGTATGTTCACCCCAGTCCATTTTAGAACATTTTCTTTACCCCTCAAAGTAACCCTGGACCCGTTAGCTGTACCCACTCCTCTCACCCCTGTTTCCACTAAACAACTACTTAGCTACTGTTGTCATGGGTTTTCCCTTAATAAAAATTAGACGTATCTATTCTGAATGTTTCAGAATGGAAATGGAATCTTATAATATGTGCTTTTTGTGATTGACTTCATTCACTTAGCATAATGTTTTCTTTTTTTTTAGAGACGGAGTCTCACTTTATCGTCCTAGGTAGAGTCCTGTGGTGTTGCTGCTCACAGCAACCTCCAGATCCTGGGCTTAGGCGATTGATTCTTTTGCCTCAGCCTCCTGAGCAGCTGGGACTACAGGCACCCACCACAAGGCCCGGCTATTTTTTGTGGCAGTTTGGCAACACCACCCTCAGTATATGGGGCTGCCGCCCTACCTACTAAGCCACAGGTGCCGCCCTGGGTAATATTTCCAAGATTTATCCTTGTAGCACAAATTAGGGATTCTTTTTCTTTCTTTCTTTCTTTCTTTTTTTTTTTTTTTGCTATAACTATTTTTCTTTTCCTCTTTTTCTTTCTTTCTTTCTTTTTTTTTTTTTTTTCAGTTTTTAGCCTGTGGCCGGGTTTGAACCCACCACCTCTGGTATATGGGGCTGGTGCCCTGCTCCTTTGAGCCACAGGTGCTGCCCAATTCTTTCTTTCTTTTTTTTTTTTTTTAAAGTAAATTTATTTCAGGTTAATGTGAGGGTACAAATAACCAGGTCAAAAAACTTGATTTTGTTAGGTAGAGTTCCTGTTGTGGTTCTGTCCCACACACAAAAGGTGTGCCATACAGTGGTGGCGCCTGTGGCTCAGTGGGTAGGGCACCGGCCCCATATACCGAGGGTGGTGGGTTCAAACCTGACCCCTGCCGAACTGCAACACAAAAATAGGCAGGCATTGTGGCGGGCCCCTGTAGTCCCAGGTACTCGGGAGGCTGAGGCAAGAGAATCGCCTAAGCCCAGGAGTTGGAGGTTGCTGTGAGCTGTGTGATGCCATGGCACTCTACCGAGGGTGATAAAGTAAGACTCTGTCTCTACAAAAAAAAAAAAGCAAGGTATGCCAAACACCCCCACCCGGTGCCTATTCAGTGAAAGCACCCCACCCCCGCCCCCTCCCTTATTACCTTTCCCCCCAACTTGACTTGAAATGAGTTTCTTTTTTTGAGACAATCTCACTATGTTGTGGTGGTGTCATAGCTCACAGCAACCTCAAGCTCTTGGGTTTAAGCAATTCTCTTGCCTCAGCTTCCTAAATAGCTGGGACTACAGGTGTCCACCACAACACCCAGCTATTTTTTTTATTGTAGTTGTCATTGTTGTTTAGCAGGCTCGTGCCAGGTTTGAACCTGCCAGCTTTGGTGTATGTGGCACCCTAACCACTGAGCTATGGGCATCGAACCAAAATGAGTTTCTTTTTATTGGCAAATAATACTCCATTACATGGATCAGCCACATTTTGTTTGACCATTTGTTAGTTGATGGACATTTGAGTTCTTTCCACTACTTGGCTATTATGAATAATGGTGCTATGAGCATTTGTGTAGAAGTTTTTATGTTTACATTTTTCTTAGGTGTATTTCCAGTGCTGAGTCATAAGGGTTAGCTATGTTTAACACTAACATTTTGAGGAACTTTCAGATTGTTTTCTAAAGTTGAGATACCTTTTTACATTAGTATCAGTAGGGTATGAGGGTTCTATTTTTCTCTACATCCCCAGCATTTGTTATTGCCCATCTTTTTTTTTTTGCAACAGAGCCTCAAGCTGTCACCCTCTGCAGAGTGCTGTGGCATCACAGCTCACAGCAACCTCCAACTCCTGGGCTCAAGTGATTCTCCTACCTCAGCCTCCCTAGTAGCTGGGACTACAGGCACCCGCCACAGTGCCTGGCTATTTTTTGGTTGCAGCTGTCATTGTTTGTTGGGCCAGCCTGGATTCAAACCTGCCAGCTCAGG